TTAATTTTTTTTGTTGTAGAAATATGCTCCAGGACTTGTCTTAATGTGGAGAGGTTTTAAGTGGGATTGTCCTTTCTAACCAATCAGAGATTTTCAATTATTTCTACTCAGCTTTAAGTAAATAATATAAAACAAACGACAACTAAAGTAACTGAGTAAACATTAGCCTAGCTGTACAAGTTTTAGGGTAAATGTAATATGTGAATCCATTTTATACCATTTATAATCCCTGGTAAAACATCACATCTTGTTACAAAATAGGTAATGGCATAAAGACATCTTCCCTGTGATAGACTGGTGACCTGTCCGGGTTGGACCCCGCCTCCCACCCAATGTCAGCCAGGATAGGCTCCAGCACCCCCACGACCCTGTTCAGGAATAAACGGTACAGATAATGTATGCATGGATGGATAAAGCCATCTTTTTCAAAGCTGACATTTTGACGTGTCTGTGTAGAAAAAGCACAGGGGTTTGCTAATAAAATTAACACTGGCTCTGTTCTATTCAGAAACTGAAGCAGCTAAATTAACTCCGACTGTCATTCATTTAATTATTTGCACCTGCATTTCCCCAAATGTAATATGTCATAATGTTAGTGAAAATGGTCAGTTAAAAAGGGATGGCTATCATCAGAAGCATAATTTGTATTTGTGTATTTTGACCCCGATACATGCATTGTTGTACAGAGAGTGACACGGTGGAAAACAGGTTCCGTTGTACCCAATTTAGACTCCTCCAATCAGAAACTACTTTGAGTTATGCCTCTCAGCCTTATGCATGCTGTGTTTGCACACAAAGATGAAACCACACTCACACATTTTTGAGCAATTTTAACACAGCACTCTGCAGTCCTGTGTTTTCAGCCACTTGCTGTTCATTATATTGCTTTTCTGGTAGATGCATGCTTGTGTCCCAGTGGCTTTCACTGACCACACATATTATAACAGCAACTCCTAGCTCATAGGCTCACACAAGATGATTTTATGCTGCCGGTCTAGTGTGAAATGAAGTCTTCCTATAGTAAACAAGTGACTATTGAAGAAATGGACTGTATTTTTTTTGAAGCCCATATGCCCACTTTATCAGAAAATTGTTTGAAATATGTTATGCCCCCTAGTGGTCGGTAATAATGCGGCTTTAAACGCTCATAATAGCAGACAAGATGCACTTCATGTACAGGTGCTGGTCATAAAATTAGAATATCATCAAAAAGTTGATTTATTTCACTAATTCCATTCAAAAAGTGAAACTTGTATATCATATTCATTCATTACACACAGACTGATATATTTCAAATGTTTATTTCTTTTAATTGTGATGATTATAACTGACAACTAATGAAAACCCCAAATTCGGTATCTCAGAAAATTAGAATATTACTGAATACCAATACAAAGAAAGGATTTTTAGAAATCTTGGCCAACTGAAAAGTATGAACATGAAAAGTATGAGCATGTACAGCACTCAATACTTAGTTGGGGCCCCTTTTGCCTGAATTACTGCAGCAATGCGGCGTGGCATGGAGTCGATCAGTCTGTGGCACTGCTCAGGTGTTATGAGAGCCCAGGTTGCTCTGATAGTGGCCTTCAGCTCTTCTGCATTGTTGGGTCTAGCATATCACATCTTCCTCTTCACAATACCACATAGAAAATCTATGGGGTTAAGGTCAGGCGAGTTTGCTGGCCAATTAAGAACAGGGATACCATGGTCCTTAAACCAGGTACTGATAGCTTTGGCACTGTGTGCAGGTGCCAAGTCCTGTTGGAAAATGAAATCTGCATCTCCATAAAGTTGGTCAGCAGCAGGAAGCATGAAGTGCTCTAAAACTTCCTGGTATACAGCTGC